ATCATCTCAGGAAACACTACAATAGTTTCTGCATTGTAAAATATGGAAGGGTGACAAAACTGTTCACCTCTCTTCTAAGAAGACTGAAATCTCATGAAAAGCCCTGAAGAGGTTGGGCAAAGAGCTGCCTCAAAGTTTGGGCAATTATGATATAAACTCCCAAGTGCATCATTTTTGTGGTGGTATCAGTTTTCAGATCATTTTGTTAAATACCACAGACAATTATCTGGATCATATGATCGTAATATCTTTAATGTTCAAAGAAATGGTCAAACTGTCTTCTGGTTGGTTGACTTCAAAATTTTATATTTCCAAATATTCCTGCTTTTTCCGTAAAAGATAAGATTCCATTCTTGTTAGTCTATGAAAATGTTCTACTACTGCCTTTCTTACCTCTTTCCCTGTTTGTCACAATCTTTTCCTTTCCTACCCCCATCTATTGCCCCAAGTTATGATTCAAAAGAAGAGGGGATGATAATATCAACCCATTTCTATTATCTGACATGTCTATGAAGTTACTTTCTTCTTTTCTTGTCTTCTTTGATTCTGAATGGAGGAGAAAAAATAACCTACAGATGTCCTTTAATATCATTAACAATTCCTCTTCACCTGTTTCTTCTCAGCAGGTAAACAAACAAACATAAACCCAACACAAAAATCCTCCAGTTACACTGTCCTAACTCCTGTCTTCTCTCTCTCTTTTTCCTCCCTCAATATTTTTATTGGTTTCTTAACTATCAATCCCCATACTAAGTAATGGGTCTTTTTATAGCTTTTCATACACACTTTTTTGGTTTACTCTTCTGCCTCCTCTGTCTACTCTTTCTGGTTCCCTTCCTCCCCTCAGTAGCTACCATTCAACTCTCATGTCATATGTATTCTTTTTTTTTGTTTGTTTGTTTTTTTTCGAGACAGGGTTTCTTTGAGTAACTTTGCGCCTTTCCTGGAACTCACTTGGTAGACCAGGCTGGCCTCGAACTCACAGAGATCCGCCTGGCTCTGCCTCCCAAGTGCTGGGATTAAAGGCGTGTGCCACCACCACCCGGCTATCATATGTATTCTTTTGTTCTCTCTTCCAACCCTTTCCTTAAGATCTGTTTTGGCCTTTTCATGATCCTCTTTCTAGTTTCATGTCCTATACATATATTACCATATACATACAGACACACAAACATATCTAGGACTCACATATGAGTGAAAACAAGAAGTATTTATTTTTGAGTTAACATCTAGGCAGATTGTTTCATAATTTTTGCGAGGAAGGCAGCAATGAGTGTGGGTATTCAAGTATCTCCATGGAAGGACTTAGAGGTCATTGGGTATATAGCCAGGAATGGTAAACCAGGGTCAGGTGGTACTTCTATTTTTATTTTTTTTTGAGGACTCTCCATACTGATTTCTATCATGGTGCCTCATGTCTCTCTATATCCTCACCAATAATGAATAATGATTCATTCATAATTATCCATATATTCATCAAATCATAGAACCTTTCAATTAATAAATGGGCTAATAAACTGAACAGACAGGTCTCAAGATAAACAAAAAAGTCAATAAATGCTTTTGAAAGTGCTCAACATCCCTAGTCACCAGAGAGATGTAAATTGAAACCATGAGATTTCATCTTTCTCTGTAACTTCTCCCCCAGAAACAATGGGTCAGCCCCACCTACTTAACTTGCTTCCTTGTGGTTCTCTCTTTTACACATTGACTTTTGCACCACTCCTCCTTTGGATCTGTTTTCTCAAAGGTCAAAAGTCATCTACGCATTGCATAACCCAGTTAGTGCTTCCCAGCCTCCATATGGCTGGCTTCCAGCTGCTTTCTGTACAATCTTGACTTTTTTCCTACTTTTTTCTACCACTCTGACCCTTTGGTTTTATCCACTGACTCACTCTCCTGGCTCACTCAAGCCTCTGTTAGCATTTTTTCCTTCAAAACCCCAGGGAAGTTATTTGGACCTATCTTGACATTTTTAGATTACACATCTGAACCACCCCTTGGCTAGTATAACATCTAAACTCTTGATTGCCTCGCTTCAACTCCATCTTCATTGCACAGATATACATATATATATATATATATATATATATATATATATATATATATATATATAT